TATATATAGGTATGTAAATATAATGCCAGAATACCATCTCAATATCACAGATTACTATCGAAGCTCAGCAATATTTTTTTTACAAATGCCCAGCCCACCTGTAGACCAAACTTAGTCCCACATTGATATTGCTTTATCATGCACACAGTGAATCTATATGTGCCTGAGCCTTGTGCTCAGGCTTCTGGAAGAGCTGTACAGTTGTTACAGAGAGTTGTTACAGTCAGGACGTACCGTTCATTTTGACTTGTCCGCGATGTACTGATCTGCCTTTTTAGAGCAAAGTATTTGTGTTATGCAGGATGAACTTTTTAGGCCGATTTTTCCCAGCCCACCTGCAAACCAAAGTTAGTCCCACATTGATACTGCTTTATCATGCACACAATGAATCTATATCTGCCTGGAGCCTTGTGCTCAGGCTTCTGGAAGAGCTGTATTGTTATTACAGGGTCAGGATACGCTGTTTATTTTGACCTGTCTGTGATGTACTGATCTGCTTTTTTAGAGCGAAGTATTGGGTTATGCAGGATGACCTTTTTAGGCCAATTTTTCCAAGGTCCCAAGACTGTCAGAGCACTCCATATTCTGACCTCAGGAGTCTAGTGTTGGTAAAATACTAGCGTGAACTGTGAGATATGGTGTTTACTATTCATGGCGCGTTGGTATTTCTGTTGCTTGCCAAAGATCTTATGGGAACCTGGAGCTGGTATTGACAGAAAAACAAGGGAATCTGGGAGCTGAAGCCAGGTGGTTACAAAATAACTGATGGAAAGCAAGATGCAGGTCTTGTGTTGTCAAAGAAACTGTGGGAACCAAGATCCAGGGTGTTGTTTTGTGCAAGAACCAATGGGAACCAGGATGCAGCATAATGCTTTGTCAAAAGATCCATTGGGGACCAGGATCTAGGGTTCTGGTTTTGTCGAAAGAACCAGTGAGAACCAGAATCCAGGGTCTTGTTTTGTTGAAAGAACTAGTGAGAACCAAGATCCAGGGTCTTGTTTTGTCCAAAGAACCAATGGAAGCCAAGATCCAGGGTTTTACTTTGTCGAAAGATCCAGTGGGAACCAGGATTCAGGGTCTTGTTTTATCAAAAGAACCAGTGGGACCAAGATCCAGCATCTTTATTTGTCAAAAGATCCAGTGGGAACCAGGATCCAGCGTCTTGTTTTGCGGAAAGAACCAGTGAGAACCAGGATCCAGCATCTTATTTTGTCGAAAGAACCATTGGGAACCTGGAACCAATGTTAGGAACCAGGCACATGTCTGGGATCTATGATATTTTACTTCAAGTAGCCAGGCCGTCTCTGCTGTCTTGCTGAAAGGCGTTGATGATAGCAGCAGCGGCCCGGTTCGAGCCAGCGTAGCTGTCAACCGTTAAAGCGGGGTTAGTCAGATCGTTGACGTTATGATCTACAGTGACAGTGGTCTCAACCGGAACGAACAGTCGGCGCCGTCGCCACCTTCTACCATGTACGGAACCGGGTAGGAATCCGTGCTCTCGGCTGACTCGCCAGCGCTGAGACCACTTGGTACCGGAGCAGGCTCGGGGTCAGCACTAGCAGCCAGCACTGGCTCAGCAGGCGGCGCAGGCCCAGCAGTCGGCGGGGAAGGCGACTCAGGTTTAGCAGCAGACACCGCCTCACTGGCATCCGAGCCACTGACGCCCCTGGAGTTGTCTGGCCATCCTGCGCACCACGCGAGCCTCCCTAGTCACAATCGCATCCCGGTCAAATGACCCCAGGGTGAGCTTTCGGTGCTTGCACTGGTCCTTCATGGCAACCCCCTCCTGATACACTGTGCGGATAACTGGGTATGGAAAGCTGCACTGAGGCTTGCACTTGCATTTCGCGACATAAAGAAGCTGGAATTTCGCCGGCGGCGGCGTTGCTGTGTCACTCTCTTCCTTGGTTTCTTGCTGATAACTCTGTTGGGGTGATATCAATCCCTCTCGATCAATTTTGTCACGTATTTGAGATCATGAACAGGGATCACTTCGTTGGCCCACAGTACCCTGATTTCTACCGCCGCGGTCTTGAAGATGGCATTCGTGCGATTCCTCTTCGACTCGCTCAGCCACCTGATGTACCTCAATGCTTTCCCGTAGTTGGCAGTTGGTGGTGGACAGTAGAGCCTGGTGGCCTATCGCAAGATGTTTGTGCGACCGTGTAGCCGTCGGCATGCTTACGCTAGTAATTGTTCGAAAGGAATGTTTCAGTACCAGTAAAACTAAAGCATAACCCACATCTTCCACGCAAAAAAGCGCAGTAAATTGCAAATCAACATAACAATGATGCGTTAGCAATAACAAACTTGAACCCGACCCGGTCTGTCATGGAGCATTCTCATGGACTGCACAGCTTTGGGCTGCACCAAAACTAATGTTCTTTACTAAAAAGTCAGCTTAAAAGCTGTTTGGCAATGTTTTGCTGGTGCTCTTCATGATATCTCTTTCATACTTAATCCACCAAGTACCAGTAGTGTGGAAAGTGGCTGCTTTAGAGGCTTGTTGGAGGATGATCCCAGTGCTTAAAATAGGTGGCGTTAGTATCGAAAACGGTTTTCTTGGCCTATGAAAGAAAAGCTGCTATCGCCTCACGAATATCAGCATTGGTGCGATGCGACAGAACTGGAAGTTTATCATTAATCCGTGTGCCAAGGAAAAACTTTGTCTCAGATGATTCCAAGAGATCCACCCCCGCGATGACACACCCTGTTGTGCATGTTAACAGCAGTTTTTACGTGCGCAGTAACCTTTCACAAGGCAGAACAGCTCATTCAAAAAGCTTAAGTCACCCCTATCCACTGTAATTTTGCGGGTGACTACGGAAACCGGTCATGTCAGCGTGCCTCTCACTGACACGCACCGCTGCTGACTTTGGCGCCTGGCCGCGTGCTGCCAGAACATTAAACGCCACTTCAGCCCGATGCCGACCGACGACGCGACTCGCATGCGGCAACCGCACACCACTGACATGCATGCGCACTTCACTGATCACTGCCTAGGTTCACTTGTGAACACATTTTCAACGTTCTCACGACATTTTGGGCATGTTGTTCCGTGGCAACTGCTGTCTCCGATCACAACGGCGGTGCTGTACACGATGTTTACTGTCGTCGGTGGTGTCAGCGAGGTCCGCGGGCTCACAAATCGCTTGTGACCTTGAGTCCACGGCCTTTGACCTAGCGAGCCTGCCCACATTGCAGGCCACCATGAGCACGAGAGCCGCCGCTGCCATCTACGTCGAGCGCTGTGCCCTCTCCGCCCGATCAAAGCCCTCGACGACCGTGCTGATCACGAAATCGATGGTCAGCTTATAGATGTTGTCCATATTGTCCGTATAGGCATCGCCAAGCGTGACCTTCACTGCTTCTAAGAACGGGTTCTTGATTTTCTGGAACAATATGGTTAAACTGAAGTCTGCAACAGCATGGTGTTCCGTTGGGCGGAAAAGCAGGCTGTCGACGAAAACACATTGGAAATATTGGAAATCAAAGACAGGTGAACTGTACACGGCAAATAATGTCATTGTATACTACCAGTTTTGCGACAGCCTGATGCGCTCAACTTGGGAAATATGTCCCCTACAACAGTGGGTTGATCCTCCTTACAAGGTATCCTTGCACACAATTCCCGAACATACATAACATGCTGATAAATTTCACGCACAATACCTTCACGGAAATGGATACTGTTCCAGGCGCATTGAAATAAACACTGCAAACCTAACATAAAAGCCCATGACAGAAAAACAAAACACTGAGCCTGTGGCCACTCACCCAGAAGAACTCCTTCTTGAAGCCGGGCACCTTAGTGTGAGCGCCGCCTATCTGATGCAGGAGCGTGAAGAAGTAGTCCATGTCCTCAAGCGCCTTGATGCCCTCGTCCAGCGAGTTCATGACGATAGAGGCGTGCTCGGCCAGCTCCAGGCTCTCGGCCTGCGCGTCGCGATTACGCAGCTCTCGAAACTTCTCGAAGAAGTTGATGAGCTCGGCGTGGTC